TTCTTTTCCCGTTGCAACTTTTTTGCGTGTAGACAATGTTGATCTTGGAACAGCATGTGGGAAGTATTTCCGTGTTTCATGCCTCAGCATCATTGACCCAGGTAAAGTGTGTTTGAGATCTTCAATTGTAGTTTTGTGAAATCTTATTGTGAGTCGAGTACTAAAGGGAAGCTCTCAGTTTGGCTTACTTGTGGTAATAATGTTGTTTCAGGTGATTCGGACATCATCAAGTCTCTGCCTGGTGATCACTAAGCGATATTCACCAGGGTTTTGTTAAACCATTTTAGTGAGTTGAGAAAATCTGTACTATCTTTTTATTCTTGTATTTCAGAGTTATACCAAGATTATAGAGGATGTTGGTATTATCTAGTTTTGTTGGTTTTATCATTTCTCCAGAAGTTTTGAGGCCAGGTACATTATGATTTATTCACAGATCAATTTCCCTTATACACATTTTGCTTTTCTAAATGAGTTCACTAGATTTTCTTGTTGTTAACTAACTGCATGTAGACCAACTCGTTTCATGCTCCTGTCATTCCATATCTATGTCTGTTTAGCTTCTTCGTTTGCCATTATTTGAGGTTCAGACTCAATAATGCGCGTACTATAGAGTAGTGACAGATTATCTTAGCTGTTAGATCAGTATTGTTTCTGTGAAATCTTCCCCTGTATACATGCAGTTAGTTAATACTTGTGGGATTACACTGGGTTTGTTGTTGTTGCCTTCCCTCTGTACAAGGATTGAATCAAAGATCCAGAGCCAATCCAAAACATACCAAGTACCAAGAGGTACTAACATTCTTGTCCATTGTCGAAACCTTCATGAACTTTTGTCATAAGCTTTTCAGGGTCATAGCCCATCGACCCTCATCTCCCATAGTCCTTTATATAACAAACAAAAAATGGTGGGGGTAGTAACAACAATAATACTTCATTAACTACGTTGTTAAGGTTTCGGAGATCTTACTTAACTCATGAAAATCTCTGCTCTGTAATTCCTACATCTAGTAGTATCATCTGTTGGTAGTATTCAAGTCATGTTTGGTGCAAAAGCTAATAAAACTGTGTTCAAATTTAGTAGTAGTACCTTTAATATGTTTATTTGTTGGCTAAGGGAGAATACTAACCAAAGTGAAGCCCAGTATTGTGACTTACACAAACAACCCTTAAAGTGGATGGTCTTGAATTTTTGTCTCCGCTTGTTCCAAGGGCAGAACTTCAAGTTTAGCATGTTGCCTGTTGCATGCCCCGTGGGTAACACTTTTAACTTTTGACCTTGACGTTTCGTTCATGGGGCAAGCGGGGGTCAAAAGTTAAAAGACCACCCCCAAAAGTGTCATATTTCTGCATTTTCTTTATTTGGGTGGGACTTATTTTATGCCAATCCAAATCTAATGGGCGACTTCAGTAGTTCAGGACTTGATGGGCCCTCTTAGGTCCATTTGATTTTCACTGGGCTCTCTGGAAAAGGAGGGGAACTGGACCCAAATGGCTAATAGCTAACTTTCTATAATCATTTGGATTTGGAAAGTATTACATCCTTCAACTTTTGAATGGAACAAAGAAATCTATTGACTTGAATGTCAACAAGAAAAATCAGATGCTCAATGTTTGCAACAGTTCCAAAATTACATCTAAATTTTGATGTGAAGGAGAAATTATCCTTGTCTGCGGGAATGAAATTTAGCTAAATCATTGAAAAAAGAAGAAGAGGAAGTATCAAGTATGGTAATTCCCTTTCAGTTAAAAAGAATAAGAATTGGAAGTTCATGCCTGTATTGTTTCCTTTAGCTTTCTTCTATACTTTTTATCCCGTTTTGCTTGATCAAACTTCTTCTTTCTATTGTTTCATTAGTCTCAAAAGTTTGATTGTAACTTAATTATTTGGTTCAAGGCATTGATTGAATTGCCGCAATTCTAAAATTCTATATTTTAAATAACAGATACTGTCTTTTAACTGATTGAATTCTTTCTACATATTTCTTGCTTTAATTACTTTAAAATATATATTATTTTTGTAAACTATCAATAGTAAGTAATTATAGGTCTATAAATATGATTCTAAGGGTGTGTTTGGTGTGAAAGGAAAATATTTTTTTTGGAAAATATCTTCCAATTTTTTCATGTTTGATTGGCTAAATATTTTTAAACCTCCCCTTGCCCGATCCCCAACCCCCTACCCATCACCCCCTGCTGGCCAACCTCATCGCCACCACGACCCCTAGACCCCCACCTCCCATCGTCCTCTGCCCTTACCCATTTTGTCTTCCATAGTTTTTGCCTACATTATATATTTTTGATAATCTGCTACTTATCCAAAAATTAGCTTATAAGAAAACCACTTATATTTTAATAAAATATAAGAAAATCACTTATTTTTCAATAAAATATTTTTCGTCCTACCAAATACATCCTAAGTATCTGAATATTTTGAAACGCTAGAAATAAATTGCTCAATAGACTGTTAGTCCTATGTTTTATTCAAAAATGTACTTGAAGTGAGTATTTATTAGTATATATATACCAATCTTAAAAGATTAAGGGCGAAAATAAAATAAAATCAGTGTCCAAGGTTGAAGTCATCCAAGTTTAGTGCCAGACAATCCGCTCAAGTATGCGAGTAAACAGCTTTTGCAGAATTGCAAGATAATACTTCCAGCTTTTCTATAGTTAATCGCGTGAATTTGTTGTTTACGTATCTCGTCTATCACCTATCGTCACCTTATTTAATTTGTGGTTTGGCTGATTGATTACTCTAGCAGCTCATGCAACTAATATTTAAAAATTAAAACCCCTAATGATTGTTTGCTTACGATCTGATTCTTTTATAATAATTTTTATAAAGAAGCGTTATTATAAAAAGAAGGTTGTGAAGTTCAGCTGAAATATGTTGGGATTAAAATAATACTAATATACAAGAGGTTTATTTGGCTGGTGGCTACGACACTTGTCTTAGGGACGAACTTTGTTCATGGAGTTGGGATCTCGTACGTCATAGATTTTTGACCGCTTTAGAATTTGTATTTTCCATCAAATTATCAGCTTGGTTTGAGCATTTTTGTGAAGAAACTGAGTTAAAGTAGGCTTGAGAAATAATTAAATATTGCTCATTGGATAGTGCATAACACCAGATTGGGACCAAAATTTATCTTAAAATGGATTTCTGCTGTCATAAAATTTAAAAATTGTAAAACTATATTTATGTTCAAACCTTTGTACTTTGCTCAAAATTAAATATAATGTAACCTTTTCGCTTATAAGATAATTCCTATTATATTTTCAAAAATTAAAAAGGGAAATTGTATGATATTACACTTTCTCTGAGAAATACAAACAATTCATATTTTCCGTTTTTTAAGAATATGAATTTTATAAGCGCATGACCAAACCTTGCAGAGCACTAGATATTCAGTAGTATGCAGGGTTTTGTATAAATTGTGTCAATTTATTATCATTATTTGGGTTGTATGTCATATGTATACTTGATTTGGAGATGGTAGAAATTCTAAAACTCTGTTTCTTGTCTTAAAGTAATATTCATTTTGCAATATTATAATCCGTGGTGGTTTATTATATATGTGATTTTTTAAATATTATCCCCACATATTTATTGAATATTTTCAAAAGGGAGAGTGTTACACATGGGTTCGATAGAATCTGTAATTTTAGTTTAAATTCTGTATATATTAATTTTTTATTATATATATTTTAAATTTTAAATATATATTAACACTTGAAATTGTTATCCTAAAATTTTAAACCTATTAAATTTAACTCTTGGCTGTGCCAATTACTTAAGATATTAAAGGCACAACTGATGTGATGAACAGACGTAGAACCATAAGGGTCCTACAATCAGGCCAAGAAGGTGCCTGAACACGTGCCACCCACGTGTAAACCTACATGGCTAGGTGTACACTGACATGCCACCTCATTAACACGTACAAATTAAGGTTCATTTGTCTTCCTTTTATTTTGCAAAAAACAACTATCCCAAGCCCCACTTCATTCTTCAGTTATTAAAAATAATATTACTTGTACTAAAGTAGTACCATGCTAGAACTAGACTATCATCAATCATTGACATCTCGTTATAAAAGTTAAAAGTGAGTAGTTTCAAGATATTTTTCCAACTTTTTCAAATGATATCTACATTATTTTGCTAAAACTTCTCCATATATTATTTTCTATTTATTATTACGGGAAAATAGTAAGTAAAATATCCAAGTATACATTTTTTTTTATCATTTAGATTCTTGTCCTCCTTATGTAGGGATAATGGCTAAGGTTAGTCTGGAGTTTGTGCATTGAAATTCTTAATTAGCTTTACCATATTGCACTAAGGCAAGTGATTAATATACTTAGCTTATTAGTAAATTACTTTAATTTCAATTGACAACTAATGATTTCAGGCCTTCCTTATCTGTTAAATGAGTAGGAATAATATAATAGAAGAATATTATTGACACCATATATTTCAAAGTTTATATTCTAATCATATTAATTTATCATGATAAGTAATTAACTAGAGTGAGGATATACATAACATTGTATATAAGAATACGTGTAAGCAGTAATTTTCTTTTACCATAGGCGAACTCCTCTTTAAACAAGACTAGTGGCTTTGTATCTTCTTAAATAGGCATATTAATCTCATGCTTCATTATCTTCGCACTTAAATAGTCACATTGTTTAATTACCTTCAGTAAATCCCGGGATAGAGTTTAACCATAGCCAAAAAAATAAAATCCATAATACATTATCCAAAATTCCAAAATTCACTGCTAACCCACAAATCCCTTAAATGAATAGCCCAATCCCCGGAGATTTTATGAGCAAACTATTAGCTGTCACTGCCAAAATATATTTTTCACTTTACACAGTTTTCCCTTTCTTCAATATATTCTTCTTTTCTCGATATTCCCACCCCCCTACCCCACCTCACCCCCTATATATACACACCCCTCTATTCACCTCAAATTCTCCATTACCCCATGCCATGCAAAAACCTTCATCACATCAAAAACCTCCAAATTCTCCTCTTCCCAAAAACCCTTTAGATTTTTCTTTTTTCTCCCATGCAGTCATCCAAAAATGAACATTCACTAGGTTTGGCTGATTATGTTGGTGTTGAGAGCTATGTTGATTTAAAATCTGCTTTGAATTTGGAACCCTATAAGTGGTTCAGCGGCAGCGGTGGCGGCGGATTTGAGAGAAGGGAAGAAGTGAGAATGGCGATGAAGAGAGAGAAGCAGAAGGAGAAAGTAGAGAGAGAATATCCGCCGTCGATACCGTGGCTGGCGCACACGGAGAATTTGCCGACTTCACAAATGCCGTGGGTGATGAAGAGGTATTATACACCTGACGGCAGATTGATTATCAAAGAAGAGAAGGTGAAAAGGTTTGAGTATTTCGAGGCTCACCGTACTAATGGACGATTAATGGTTAATCTCGTCCCATTAAACGATGACGTTTCGGGTTCCGACGATGATGATGAAGATTGTGTATGTGATGATGGCGATGTGGCTGTAACGGATGGTTGTAATCAGGTGAAGGTTGATCGGACGGAGGAGAAAGAATCGACATTGGTGAATGGTGGTGGTACTCCGGTGATCGGCGGCGGTGGAAGTGGAGGAGGAAGCAAGTGTTCGAGTTTATTTTCGTTAGGTGTACCTGTACCGGCGATAAGGCCAGTTCATACATAACAACCTACCCACAACTGTTGACCTATCTCTTATGCTAAAATGAGCCTTTTTTAAGTGTTTTAAATTCTTTTTTTATTTAGTTCAAAAGGAACAAAAATCTTTTGTCTGGATTTTATTAATTTTTTATTAATTTAAATTTAAAATTTTGTTGTTTAATTATCCCTTTATGCTGCATTTCTGGAGTGTCGCTTAAGGCTACTGAGTAAATTATGTTAGGTGTATTTGGTAAGGCAGGAGTTTCTTATTATTACTTCAACTAAAACTTACACAATAACATTACTAATATTTAATATTTTCATAAAAACACTGTTATAATTTACCAAACTTTCATATCAAAATTCACTACATGACTTTTTGGACACTATTTTCTATCACTAACCAAATATGAAATATATTTTTCCAAAAATGACTTCATACCAAAGAAACTTGCTAGGCAACCTAATTGTACGTATAATATAAAAGAGGTAATAATTATCTTTTACTCCAGTAATTTTATAAAATGGAAAATTAATCAAAAAATAAATAAATCGTTATATTAAGTTCTCTATTGTCTTTCTTGTAATTAGTGAAGTTTTAAGTTTTAACATATGTCAGGACATCAAAAAAGAAAAAAAAAATGAAGTAATCCAAATTAAGCTGATTCCTTGACTTTCATGCATGGTTATGTCATTACCTGTAACGATTTATTTGTTTTTCTTTTCTTTTAATTTCATGCTTTGTTTGATAATCTGATTACGTAAATATTCTTCCTATATTTAAATTTTGAATTTAGTGAGTGGAGTCCTACCTGGATGTTCTATTGCTTCTTTTAATTGCACCTCCAGTTTTAGTTTAAATTTAAATAATATAGTATCCTACTTTATGGAATAATACTGTAATTAGCTTCTAAATTCATTGAATATGGTTATCCTACTAAACGGAACATTTTTTTTTGGGTGAGAAAAAGGAACGTTTTAATAGTATGATTACCATATGGCTTAAGATGACTATCCACATATTCTCTTAACCATTAGAGTTAATATTTCTGCTCTTTTTTTCTTTTCCTTTCATTTATTTTATGCTTGGATGATGACAAATATGTTTGTTTCCTTGATTAAATAATTCTCTAATGTTTGGTTCTTTAATAATAGTGAGAATCTCTTATTCAACAGAAATATTACAAAGAAAGGAAAACAATGTTAATTCTTGGTGGTTCTTAATCATCCACCAAGGATTGTGATACGATAAATAGGATTTATTCCACCAGTAAGAGATCTTGTAAGAAGTGTTTCGCCATTTAATGTGTCTTACTTGATGCAAACACGAATTAATCGATGTTCTAATATAAATATTGAATACCGGGGGAAAAATTAAAAAAAATAAAATCTTATTTGTTATTCTCTCTGTTCCACAATAAGTGACCAACTTGCCTGAGGCACATTCATTAAGGAAATACTAAATTCTAGACAAAAATAATTAGTGTGACTAAACTATCCTTAATTAAAATATTGCAGCATAATTTAATGTGAGGAGTAAAAGACTTTTTAGAAATTCGTACATAAGGGTAATTTTGGAGAAACAAATTGAATTTTTTCTTAATTATATAAATGGACACTTATTTTGGATCAAAATAGCAAATTGGTCACTTATTGTGGACCGGAGGGAACACCAATCTTTCTTCTCCATCATATTTGATCTTGTATTATTTTTCAGGATAAGTACGACATTAATTTAGTCAAGTTGTAATATAGCCAACGGTTCGTTAGACATATTTAAAAGAATATCTGTAATAACTAGTCTAATAATATAGAAAGAAACGTAAGAAAATTTCTCCTATGATTTTAAACTTTGAATAAACAGATGTCCCTCTTCCATAGATTAGTCATTGTCATTCTTCCAATTAGTTTTAGACTATTATTATATCCTAAGATTTTTATTTTTTTACCAGAGATGAAGCAAACTATTTACGTCCCTTCCTTACTTAAGAGTTTTGGAGCATGTTTTTTCTTTGGAACCAGTGATATTCCAAGTCCTCATGTGGGACGTTGAATTAATAGTTATACATTAATGCAGAAAATTTAAGAATTAAGTGAAGCGAATTCACTACTTTTAATTCACAATAGCAGGGATTAAAAGAGGTACTATTAGTCGAGGTGCGTTCAATTAGCTAATCCGAAGTTATTTAGAAAAAAGAAAATCGAAGTCTAACGCAAGATATCTATCAAGATCAGCTTTGTTATCTTGAAGCAAACCGAGTTAAGGATAACATTGCTAACTATGGACTTACATTAATTCTACGAAACATTAGTTTCTCCTTTGAATGTAGTCAACTTCCGCAAATAGTAATTAAGAGCTAAGGTTACTCAAATTGAATAAGATGCATTTTCCAACTTTCAAAGTAAAATGAATCTCAGTTTTTTAGAAGATGGCTTCAAGATATCATTTTTACAAGATATGGCACCCTTCGAAAGTTTATATATTGAGTATCATCGTACCCCTGTGAAAGCTTGGCGCGAAAAGATGTAGCAGATGGCGGATGGAAATTCCACGGTTTGCCAGTTCCGCATAATTTATCAACATAAGAAATAATTTGTAAATATAGGGGGAGAGCTGGGCCGGACAGATGTCGTAGTAGCGGAAAAATTCCTCCCTCCAACAGGGGAAGAGGAAGAGAATAACCCGCTTGAAACGGGTACGCATAAAATGCGCAATATCCAAAATGATAAATATGGATTACGTCGTTCCTAGCTAGGACCAGGTCAATATGGGCAGGGATATTGTATTTGGCCCTAAGCTCGGCAAGATGGGTTGCACCCATTTCGGACTTCACAGACTCAGGCTCGTCCGCCGGTGACTTCGAGAAGTTCGACTTGGCCCTATCGTTACGAGAAATGATTTTTTCCACGGTGGGAAAGCTCTCATCCTCGGCTGCGACAACAATATCATCATCATGAGGAGGCATCCTCACCCCTAGTGGAGTTGGTTCAGGAACCTCACCAGAGACAATGGGTGTATCCACCATTGTTGGTTGATTGTAAATACAGAAGAACGAACTCGAAAGAGGTAGAAACAACAGGAATCACTCGAACTAGAAAGGAGAGTAAGAGTGCAAAAGATGGAAGCAATTGGAGTAGGAACACATAAAGAACAAGAAGAGAAGAAAAGATGTAGGTTCAAAGATTGGAAAATGTAAAGGTTCACTCAAAAGGGTTCCCCCCTTTATTTATAGAGAACATCGGTGCTCGGATCGAGACAATTAACCATCAAATACACAGGGATCGAAACAACAAGGACACGGGAAACAATGCAACGCCTCGAGAAGATGCATAATGATGACGTGTGAGGCTGTGACGTCACTCTGAACTAACGTCATTAAGTGTGGTCCTCAAAATGCCACGTTACCATCTCGACCGTGATCTTTACTACTCGACCTACCCACTTGAATTTCTCGACTACGACTAATAAAGTTCGATTACCGAGGTCGATCAAAGAACAACCTCGATAAGCGGAGGGACTAACTATATGGGTCAAAATCCGATCGAGGAAATTCAGCACGAAGAGATGATTATTGTGAGTAATTTGTAACTTATTATGGGTAATTTGGCCAAAGTCGACCAGTGATCAACGGAACGAGTCGCCAAGCGGTCAACCGCGACCAAGGTCGAGAAGAGCAGATAGTAGTAACGATTAGTTTAGTATTGGGATCTTCAGAGGGAATATTCTCTTAAATATTCTGTCTGTTTGTACTTTTAGGGTTCTTTGGGAATATCCCATATAAATAGAATGAGAGATAAGGCAAAAGGCGTGTATTATTATTTTGATAAGAACTCTCTTGAAAAGCTGACTCTCTAGTAAAATACAAATATCTCCTTTCCAAAGAGATTCGATTTGTTGTTTATTCTACATTTTTCACATCAGATCCAAGAAAATCTCCAATATTCCCATAGTCATTTGTCTTATATCATTGTCAGAAAGATGAATCATTCTCTCTATTTATATTTAATACCATTTATTGTTATTTATTACTTATCATTATTCTCATTCCATTAATATCCATAACATTTAATGTGTATTGCATTAAACCCACTTCGACGTGGTTCTACGTTATCCGCATAAACCGACTTTAGATCTAAGGTCATTTTATTTAACTAGGATTAACCCCTTATCCTTTTATTTCATTAATTTAATAATTTTTTTATACTTTTTGTCAAACACATAGAAAATTCTCCTTTGCAGAATTTGCCTGCGCACTTCATATACACTATTAGAAATTCGGGTTTTAGCGACCAAAAAAAGCGACCAGCGTTAGTCTGTTTATGCAAAATACCAACCAAAACCCATCCAAACAGGTTTAGTCACTATTTTAGTGGTCGCTTTTGTATACCGACCAAAGTTGGTCGCTAATTACCAACCAAAGTTGGTCGCAAAGGTAAAAGGACCAACTGTGCAATTTAAAGCACATAGCGACCAACTTTGGTCGGTAACATATTTTAATAATTTAATTTTACCAACCAAAGTTGGTCGGTGTATGTGAATTACGTTATATTATTAATTTTTAAAATTTAAAGATTAGCGACCAAAGTTGGTCGGTAAATTAAAATATATATTTTTTTAAAAAATTAAAATTTAACAATTAGCGACCTAAGTTGGTCGGTAAATATGAAATCTGGGTAATTCTTGATCATTAACTGATCAAATTTGGTCGGTAATTATTAATTTTTCATTTTTTAAAGATTAAGCGACCAACTTTGGTCGCTAATCAGAAGATTTTCTTTTTTAAAATTAAATATCGACCAAATTTGATCAGTTTCTGGGTTTTAATTTTGGCATAAAATGCCTGTTTTGGCAGCTACACCACCTGCCAGCATACCAAAATTCCTAAACAGGCATTTTATGCCAACAACAACAACAACACAATTCAATAAATACATTAAAACTAACAAATTAAAGTTCAATATAACTAAAAAATCCAAAACCAAGTTAATAATTATTACAACTAGTTCAGAACCGGTTCTATTTGTCTAATTCAAAGTATATACAAGTCAAGGAGTATTTTGTACAACATCATCATCACCGTCTGATGAACTTTCATCTAAAAGATGGTGTCGAGAAGGGTCTTGTG